TATTATTATTTTTTATTTTATCAATCTATTTTCTTTGTTTTGATTTGTTTTGGGATTTTTTTGCAATATAACTTTGAGTTGTGCATGTTAGAAATAAATGCATTAAAAAACAATTAACTATTGTACAATACTACAAAACAATAAGATGCAAATATGAGTATCTGAAAACAGGCACCTGGAAACCAGAACCAAAATATTCTGAGGGAACCAATGACTAATAAAGAACAGGTGTGGTCATTAGGAAACCAAAACTACTCTGTACCAGGTTAGTTTTCTGACTGACTGACTGATAGATATTGATGGAGTCTGAGTTAAAAATAAAAATATATATATCTTAAGGTTTTATAATAATCTCAGTCACTGGGTTCATTTGTTTCTTTTTACTTTATTATTTAGTGCAAAGAGTAGTTAAGCTTACGTTGAAACATTAATTCATATGAATAACAAGCAGCATCTTGTAAAATACATGATAAGTGTCAGATTGACAGTTTTTAATAACCTGCAGTATTAAAACACTCATATATTTTATATATTAGACTAACCTGTATAAATAAAGGCTAAATGAAAATGAAAAATATTAACTGTTTTTTGTTCTTTTCCCCCAATGATCATTTTTGTCTTATGATTTTTAGATTGTTAACTTCAACTTTGAACTCAACAAATGCAAAGTCAGAAAACCTATGTTGATCTATTGCTATTATTATTATTATTTGTATTATTGTTATTCAACTACACAAGAGTTTGGTTAGATTGGTCAAATAAGAAGAAAATGTTTGGTTAAATTAGATTTAACTGTTTTAACTACTAAATTCAAACGTGAGACAGAACTATTCAGTAAAGTTATAATGATAATAAACTTTATGTGAACCAACATGTTTGTAGTTCTGCCATTTTTTATTGTGTTAGCATGTTAACATTAGCATTTAGTACTGGTGTGCTGCTCTACAATGTAATATATTTATTCTAACCTGACACTTTTCAGATTATATATTTTGATCATGTTGTTTAAGTGGTTATGTCTCCAGTAGTCAAGTCAAGTCAACTTTATTTATAAAGCACATTTAAAACAGTAGCTGTTACCAAAGAGCTTAACAAAAAAATCAATGAGTGTAATATAATGGAAAAAATAAAAGTAATGATAGTAGTCAGTAGTAGTCATTAGTCAGTAAAAAGTTGATATTTTCCATGCAACTGCTTTATTCTCTTCTGGGATTCACTTTCCTGTTACATGTCCTGCAATGCTCACAAACGACACTATTGTTGAGAAAGACACAAAAGTGCATATCAAGATAACATGAACATGCCTGCACATCCAGACCCAGCATCTGGCTTGGCACTTGGCAGCACTGAGCCTTTCAGAACAATTTAAATGGATAATCAGGCTGGTGATGCAAGGAAAGTGGATTGTGCATCTCTTAATCTCTGAACAGAGCCCCCTAAGCTGCTCCTGGTGCAGAATTAGAGTGGCTTTATGTGAAGTGACACCAGGCAGTGTGCAGTACTGTAACACACTGTGGGTTCCAGTAAAATCTGGCACCTCCTCCCAGGGGAGAAGGCCTTCTCAACACAGACAGCTGACATCTTCCATAACCCCCTTATGAGACATAAACTCCATGTCTCCATTATCATTGCCCCTGGTGTAGATGTTAATTTGCATCATCATTACCGATGAGAGGGGATACATACAAGCAGAGTCTTTGATAATGATCTTCTGCATCCTCCCGCTCCCCTTTATCTGTTACTTTTATGTTGTTTAGTAGACAGTAAACACCAGCACTCTTCTTTGTGGCTAGATATCCATGTTTCACTTAAAGGTCACTGTCACGCCTCTATTGTTTTCCTTTAAATGTGGAACTGGCCTCACCCAACCTTCATCTTTGACATTTGTTTCAAATTACTAGGTTTGCATTGTATTTTAGAACGCCATTGTTGTTAATGTAGATGCTTTTCCTTTTTTTATATAAACAGCCAATTGTTAAGGAAAACCAGAAAACGTGTTTGTTTTATACAGATTTACTGTAGTGCACACATTTTCTGTTAGAGTTACTGAAATAAAGTGTAACTGTCTTGAGATCACTGATAACATCCAGATGAGACTTTAAACAAATCTGACACAGAGACTGATTCTGCTCCAAACCAGAAAAGTAGCATGAAGACTAATAGTAGTCTCTCGTTACTTTGCCGTTCGTTTTTCGCAGACTTGCTCTATCGCAGTTTTTCAAAATAAGATTGGACATGACACACAACTGGCTGATTAATGGATGAGCTGCACGACTGGCATGGAATTTTTATTTAAAATATATATTTTTTAATTATTTAGCACCTGCTGCACCTGTGTGCAGCCTACAGCTGCATAGAGAAGCTTCCTCCTGCAGAATGTCAGATCTCCACTCTACATTGGAGAAGTAAGCGTGGCACAGAGCAGCCGGAGGCAGAGAGAGCAGAGATCATGACATGATGTGTTCTTTTAGAGCATTTAGGGTTTAGAAAATTGTTAGGGACATTGCAGGAGTGTAGGAAGAGTTTAAAACGCCTTAATATATACCTGTAAATAAATACTAAAATAAAATACTACTTACTACTACTATTTGTGTACTTAATTTCATTCCATCTCATCTACCACATGAGCTGGTAATGGCAATTAAGTTTACTTGAACTTGGACTACTGTATCCCTATTTCACGGGGAGTCCCAAACCCCCGTAATAAACGAAGGACTACTGTACAGCGCATCGGTTCCGATTCTTCCCATTTCCTACTGCAACTTTTGTCCTTAATTTATGATTTTATTTTAATTTTTACTTTATGGAAACAAAAGTCTCAGAGTGCTGACCACAAGTGGTTCGTTGTGGTGGTACTCATTATTATTGGGAACTTAGTATGCACAGTGCAAGACAGAAAATGCTGTAAATAATATAAACATAGCTTTTTGTGGAAGAACTGCTTCAAGTGTTAGATAAATATATGTAAAAATGAAACAGTAAACTGATATAGAGCAGGAAGAGAGGTAAAAAAAAAAAGGATGAATAAAACTATTAGCTTTCTTTGCCCTTGGAAATCACCAGGGCTTGTCAAGACAGCTGCCCTGAGTAGCCAACAAATTAGTTTCAAGTATCTATGTGCTAAAGCAAACAAGGGGAACATTAATAGTCCCAAATTAAAGTATGTGTTGGCATATTCTGTCCATTGTCTTTATTCTTTTATTCCATCCCTCATCAGAGACAGAATGACAGAGCGGACGAGACTGTGACTGTTAGCTGCGTTGTTGAGTCAGTACATTGAATTTAAGATTTTCTGTCATTTTTATCTGACATACTTTTACATCACAAGCAGTTTAAAGTGAATACTTTACACTGTAATGTTAATGGAGTGATGGTAAACGTGAGTAAAAAGGGAGGAAATTAAGACAATTTTTAAGCGTATCTGAATAAGCAATCAAACCCATCTGAGAGGTAAACGCAGGTGTGTGAGCAGGTGAATCCACTTGTAAAAGGCTCATCTGGGTCTGTGCCAACAAGCTCTATTGCCTGATTACATTTGGCCAAATATTTTCACGTCGGAGTTGCTATGAAATTTCAAAAAGCTGATGAGCGCATTGAAAGCATCTTAAATTACCCAGGGCCCAAAACAGTGTGTGTTCAAGATCAACCTGCAGCAGCTTCTAGATGTGGAGTTGGCTTCTTTGTTAATACATTCCACTTGTTCTTCAATCTTTCCACTGATGCTGGGAGTTTAACATTATTCCAGCACAATGACACATGGTGTGTTCACAGCATTAGCAGTGAATACTGTCACATTTAGTAATAGAGGCTTGCTATAATTTAACGGCAGCAGTTAAGCCAGGGACCTCAGATCGCATGCTGTTAAGCCCTGCAATAATGTGGACCTGCAGTGTGGTCATTGTGAGTGTATGAATATTTTGGCCTTTCAAAGAGTAGCTTAATGCAATGTGCAGATGATAACAAGTCCCAAGTTAGTGAACTGTCCCATCTCCAAGAAGGCACATAAGCAAATTAACCATGACCAAAAGCTTTAATTCCTAAGGCAGAAGGATTAGGCCGTTTGATGAGCAGATTCAAGGATGCAGGCAAGGAGAACAAAAAGAAACACTTCTGGCCAAGCGAAATAATCTTTGAAAATGTTCTTTAAATCCATCTCCCTATGACGTGCATTTCCACTGCACTTCAACCCAACATCTTCCATCCCCGAGATTAAGGGCTTTTATCATGTATCCTTCCTTTTTCTGTGATTCCTGCTTGATATTTTTTGCTTTTGACGTCCCTCTCAGCACTTGCCTTTTTACATCTTTATTCCCCCCCTCAAAGTGGACTTCAGTAGGTTTACAAAATGCTAAATCTTTTTGCACTTACAGACAAGTGCATTACCACTCTACTGAAGCGCACTTCTTTTAAGCAGAGTTGTTTGATTTAATCCGTGAAGATGTACTTCCGGCATTTTAAGTGAGATCCACCTCAGCAAATGCTTCCTGGAGATTTTGTCTTTAGATTAAATCATTTTATTCTTGTTTATTCTGTTTTATTTCTAAGACGTTCCATACACCCAGCCTGGGGGATGAGGAGTTTGAGATTCCTCCCATCACACCTCCACCTGAGACAGAATCCAGTCTTGGACCAGAGGTGAACTCACCATACCCATCGATGCCAGAGCCCCCAGCGCCACACAGGGGTCCAATAATCCCCCAGTTCCCCCCACAGAGTCTGGACCTGCCCTCGATTACCATCTCACGCAACATGATGGATCATGAAGGGGTGTCAGTCAACAACGGCCAGCCTGTGGTGAGTCTTTTATTATGTTTGTCACACAGACATCTTGTATTTGCTCTTCTTGCAGGTGGAGCTCTAGATGAGGTTGTTGCTGATGTACACAAACTAAAGTGTATGATTTGGAAGCCTATAGTTTTGGAAACCACTAATTTTAGTCTTCCACTGAGCACCCCGTTTTTACTTATCCGTGTCACCTTCACGGTTTTTGTACACCGCTCATTGTTAGCACATCTGGCACAGCATCTGGCCTTGTTTACGAAACAAAGCATATATAATTACACTGAGTAAATTTCATATCATGTTACCTATTGTACATAAAAAAAAGAAAGAAAAATTACCAAGGGTGTGGATGACCCCTTTCTGTAAGGTGGACAGATCACAGGTGTTAAAGTACATAACACATTCATCCCCGGAGGAGAGTGGAAATGGCACCCAAAACTGCAACATCTTCATATGCTCATATTTAATTCATGTTGCTTCTCAATGGCTTTTTTTTTTTTTACCTTTGTAAATACTGATCCAAGCTTCAGTCCACAATTGCACAAAGTCTTAAGAAACGACACACGATATGTCAAGGGCGCAGTATCAGCTTCGTTTTTTGTGGTGTAAATATTTATCCTCGTAGTGAGATCTGGGTGAACAAAGTTTGGCCATGTTGTCTTTTCACAAAATCCAGATGGTCAAGCGTAAAACTAGAGAAGAATTATCCCTTTCTTTATGTTGCTACAGTGCTGCAGATTGTCTGATTGTTGTCTCTGGGTAGAAAGGCGTTTTTTAAATGCCACAATCATAGAAGCAGCAAGGAGGAGGGGAAATGGAAATGTCACCGTCTGACTAGTTGTCTTACAGACCTAGTACACTAATGGAAAATTCATTTAGAGGACAAGAAATAAAAGAACAAAGGTATTCATTCAACCTTTATGTATACAGGTTAGTCTCATTGAGTCACAAGGACTCATTTACAAGAGACCTGATTTAAACAAAGAACACAGATGAGATGCAGACAACAATAGACAATCATATAAAAAGCATATAAAATGAAAAGTAAATAGAAGAAATGAAATAAAAATGAAACAAAAACAACTACACTGTTATAATATTTAATATAGAATATTTTAAATGTTTTCCAAATGTTAGACGATGGATCTGGAGTATTAAAACTGCATTAATATTGGCCATATGTATTGCTGTTAGATGCTGCAAAGAAACTGGTCTGTGTTCTGATTTTAGATGTTCTCTGAATCTTTAAGAGAAGCGTGTCGAGAATTAAATATTTGTTTGGTGAGACAAATTTTAGCGTCTACTTTCTGAAATGTGTCTAAAAATAATTGTAAAACTAGAGATTTTTTTTTTTTTGTGTGTCAAAATACAGAACGAATACTTTTTCATTCAACCTTTATTTAGACAGGTAAATCCCATTGAGCCTCGAGGACTCATTTACAAGAGAGACCTGATTTCAACAAACAGTGGTGACAACAATGGACAACAGTGATAACAATAGTAATACTGAATGCTGCTGAAACTTACCGAAGAAGCTGGAATTGAACCGTTGAAGCTAAAAGGAGCAGAACACCAACTGAAAGCTAAATGGCACAAAGGCCAAAACCTGAAATTGACAAAAAGGTAGCTAAAAAGTGTCAAAAAAAAGTAGCAAAATGCTAGCTTAAAAGTAGCAGGACTGTAGCTAAGTGCTAAAAGTGGATAAAGGCTAGCTAGAAACTAAGAGTGCATTCACACCAGCCATGTTTAGTCCACTTTAATCGAACTCTAGTCCATTTGCCTAGAAAGTCTGGTTTGTTTGGGGAGGTGTGAATGTGCAATGGAACTCTGATATGGACCAAAAAAAGTGAACTCTGGTCCACCTAAAAACCTAGGTCTTGGTTCGGTTGAAGTGAACTCTGGCGCGGTTCGAATGCAGTGTGAATGAAAGTGAACCGGACACCGCTTCAAAAGCAGGAAGTGGACGACAATGCAGAGCAAACAAGCGCACATTTCTCTTAACGGAGCCGTCAGCCGCCTTGTGTGAAAAACAACATTCTCCATGGTCTTCTGCCTCATCTTCCTCTCGTGCTGAGTCCATTGTTGAAAAATAACAAAACAGAAATCCTAAAACCGCTAAAATTTGATGTCATGCCATTTTTGCCTTTTTCCAGAAGAAGAAGAAGAAGAAGTGTGTTCTTCAGAGGTTTTTGTGTCATTTCCTTCAGTAGTTCTTGGTGCAGCGCCACAACAGGCGAGAGGGGGGACGGGTTGGCTCGACTGATTCAGTGCAGTGTGAAGTGAACCGCACCAGCTGAAAATGTAAACAATTGTTCCAAATTTTGGTCCCAAATCGAGCCGAGTCTACTGGACTATCAGTTGTGAAAACGACCTTAAAGTAACAGCAGGCTAGCTGTAAGCTAAAAGTAGAAAATGGCTAATTAAAAACTAAAAGTAGAGAAAGGCTAGTTGGAAACTAAAGTAGCAAAATATTAGCTAAAAGAAGCAAAACAAAACATCGGTGTGAGCGAGAACATGATACTGATGCTGCATTTAGTTTGCATCGAGAGGACGTGCCATTATCATAACGAGTGTGAAATGTGTTAAAACACCTGGCACTTGCTTCCTTTATGACACATTTGTTGAATCACACCGGTGTTACAGATATTTATTTACATTCCGTATGGGAAAGGATTGTAAAATTGTACAGCTCCTTTCCCCAACTTCTTTATTTCTGCCACATGTAATAATTGCAGCTCTTAAAATATTTCTGCTGCATACAGTAAGTTGGCCCGTCCGAAGGCTTTTTGCCTGAAGAATTTTCATTTCATGGTCAGTTAAGCTTTCTGCATCTGGATGAAACGGAACCTCAACACAATTACATTCCTGACTGTTCTCACGACTTGCTGGAGGATTAGATTTGATTCTCAAACATTATTCCTCTTTAACACCATTTGCATGGCTCATGTCTCTGATTGTGCAGAGACTCTATTAAAAGCTGAGGGGGTAGAATATGGGTCTCTGCTCCTTGCCTAGTGGCATTGTCACCAGCACACCACTCGCTTGTTATCAGTCATCGCACATTGTAAGGCAGGGAAAATCTTGTGGTGGCCCTTCATTTTTCCTGCAATTGGGATTGCATGAAAAAAAAAAGTCTTCTGACAAAAATGTATGGAAACTCTTTTCATCTGTGGGTTTTACTTATTTATTTATTTATTTATTTATTGCTTTGAAAGGAGAACACATCTTCTAAATGCGATAAGTAACGACATCATTTGCAGTTTATTCCACAAACAGAGACAATGATTTACGCAAGCCCTGAGAGGGGTGTTTTGTCATTTTGTCAGTGCACTGATAAAGGAATGACAACCTTATATACATGATTGCATTCTGTGTTATTTGTTATGGCTGCAGGGGCAAACAAATAAACCGTACACTCTTGCAATTACATTTTTCATCAAGCCTTTATGCTCATATTTCCCCAACACTTTTTTTTCTCCCCTGTTCGAGCTTACTAGTGCAGAATAGTTTGTTTTTTTGAACGCTTGTTTCTTATCACAAGTTAATGAGAAACCTAAGCAGTGAATATACCTGGGCTATTTTCAAAAGCCTCTTCCATGTCATTCCTTTGCCAAGTGTTCTGCTAATTCCTCTCCACTTAATGTTCAGCGTATGTCTTGCAAATTGGCCACAGATGCCAGGCTTCTACAGAGAGAAATACATTTTCTCAGCTGCAATCTGCCTGGCAAGCCCCGAATCTGAAGTCATTATTTATTTAATCTGCTCTCCTAACAAGCTTCTGACTCTCATTTTTGTCTCGCAGCATGTGTCCTCCTGATTTGTGATTGAGTCTCAATAGTGCCAAATAGTACTGGAGTTAGAGCTGCCAGTACTGCTTTATTCACAATTTCTTCTCGATTTTCTCCCTGCCGCACAGCGAGGGTCTGTGGGTTCTATTTCAAAAAACACCTGGTGCCTTCGCCCCCCATTTTTAGGGTTTTCTTGACACATGTACGCGCGTTCTGAAATGGGCTGTGTGTCCTCTGTGATTGGATTTGAAGCCTACAGTAGGCAACTGGTTGTATTAGATGTTAAAATCAATATTCAGGGGATGCGGGCGGTCCTCGCTGTTACACATTTAACACTATGAGGTGACGCATTACTGTATGTAGTTTTCATTTCATTCATAACTAGCTGCTTCTTATGCCATTACAGCTGATATGCTAATATTTATTCGTAGGGTGTTAGAGCTACACACATCAAGCAAGATGAGTTTGAAAGAGCCATTTGTAGTTTGCTGTTCGCTTGATTTCATATCTCTTGATAGTGTGTAGATTTCCAGTGAGTACAATACCTTCAGTTCTGACTCGTCAAAACCCACTTTATCCTGAATGAAATGGAAAATGGAAGCACTGTTGCAGAAAGCATGTTTTTCTACACATCCCTCTTATCTCCCTTTCAAGCCAAGAAGCACTGACATGAGTTGTACATCAATTTAAGAGAGTGGATTTTTTTTTTATCCCCCCCTTTTCTTTTTTTCTTGACAGCAATTGTGACATATTGGGTCAGTCAGAAATGAAAAATATTCATGCAGGCATGCAATACTTGTAATGAAGTCTCAGCTTGACCTTCTGCATGATTGATTTTGTAATTTACTTTTCTTGTACGGTTCTCAAACTGAAATGATGTCATGTCGGACAAGTTTTAAATACACATAATGCATCAGGAGAGATGGTGGAGAGGGGTACGGGTCAGTGGCTGTACCAGACCAAGGGGAGGGAGGCTGTTGGCCTCAGAGTCCGAGGGGGAGAGGGGAGACCGATGGAGATTTGTTTTTAAGTGAAGGTTAGAGGTGGGTGAAAGAGATACGCTGAGTTTGCTCCCAATCAGAAAGAGAAAGACAGTAAAGTGTGTTTTACTGTGACAGGTCAGGTGGAAAAAAGGGAAAGAAAGGCAGGAAAAAAAAAATATTTATCACTGTACTGTTATAGCAACATTCAGAATTCCATTTTTCTCATTTGGCTTAAGCACAG